CGTAGGGGAAGGGGGGAGTGTAGGGGCTCAGGGGTGCCAGGAGCGGGAGGGGGAGAGGAGGATGTGGTGGGGTAGACCCGACATTGCCTGCTCAGAGCCCCATTAGAGCGCCGGGGCCAATCATCGACTGGGAGCTGAAACTCACTAACCAATAGCCAGCCCGCCGCTCCGCCCACCTGGCATTGTCAAAACACTAAACTTTTCCTTGACCTATTTGAAGCGGCGTCCGCTGCAATGAAGGGACATAGCGCCACCAGTCGGGATACTGCAGCTACTGCATCCCTGGTAAACCTTGAGCCAAGCCTATCCCCATTGGAGACAAATATGACTGTATCTTTTTGCTCCGTGCTAAACCAGCCTATATCAGGCCCAGTGATGTCCCTCATGGAAATGGCTGAACATATGTGCTACAGTGAATATGATCATGACTGAGGACATAACATTTTGCATTTAATAAAAATCCCATTGCTTTGCAGAGTTGAAGCAAAGTGAGCTATGTTTTTATTCTATTCTCATTAGCTTGTTTGTTCCCAACTCTACCAGTGATGAAGCCGAGCATTTTTTTTTTAAATGTCTGATACATCGTCTGGCACCCTTGCTCTCCCATTATGTTCACACAAGTACAATTCCTATTTGTAATGAGAGTGTTTTTTAACAGCTTCAGCAAATTCAGCTGCTCCTCCTAATGATATTAAATAGGCGCTGCACGTCAGCTCCCTGCCCTCGCCCCTGTCACCCCTTTTGTGTACGCGTGTGCTGCAACAGATGGTACACACAATGGACTTTTCCCTGCAGGACACAGAGCACCAGTGTGTGCCACAGCAGAGCAGGAGGCCAGTTGCTGCCCAGTTGCCCAGAACCATGTACCCAAGTCTCCATAGCTGGGGAACTGGAATCGGGTTGTTAATTTACAATCTGAGCAGGCCTGGTTTTACCCCAGGCCACTGAATGACCTAATACTTGAGAAATGTCCCATTTCAGCACACTGCCCCACTTTCAGTGGACCTAGTGAATAGGCTAAACAGTAGAATGGTCAAAATATTATGAAATTAAAGCCTATAAGCCTGATTTTTTTTTACCACATCTATCTTTTATGTCCCTTTGAGATTCAGTTCCTAACCTTTACAATGACAAAAATTAAACACATTGTAAATGAAAAGTGACTCACACTTAATAAATGGTTGGCAAAGTCCAGCAGATGGACTGGGGCAGACACAACGCTTCAGGAGCATCAGGCAGTGGCTGCTAACTTGGGAAAGCAATTGATGAGAGCATTTGTCATTTTTAATGGTGTGGTGAGGAGTGTTGCTATAGTGTGACAAGGTACAGCACAGCATGGCCCCAGGTGCTGGCTGCTTTGTGGGCCTCTCATTGCTACCTGGCCTTATTTTTCACCAGGCTAGTCATCATCACCTATGACTCTGCAGGTCGTCTCCAAATACAAGAGCAGCACCAAACAATCTGTCCCTGTTCGCTGGGGGGAAAGGAAGGAAGGAAGAGGATGAGGGGAGGTAGGAACAATAGTGCTACTGCTGTAGCACATCCTCCCTTACAATGGATACCCAGACAAATGCACACATACAATTACAGAAATGTGCATGCAGTCGCTGACCCACTCAGCACTCTGACAGTGATCCACACAAAGCCACACAAGCACTTGCTTACTTCAGCCCAATACCAGCACTGAGCCCAAACACATTGCAGAGAGCCTCTCGTTCTTTCTGTGGCCTGAATTCTTCTGTGTGGTTAAGCCTGCAGGTGTAGCATCCCATTTTTATTTTGTTGTCTGTGTTCCTCAATTTCTCCATACTAAACCCTCTGACTTGTGTTTGATTCAATATTTTTCTCTGCATTCTCTAAGCTGACCTGACATTTATTGCGCTTATGACCTGTAAACATCCAGCCAGTATCTGCCTCTCCATGACCAATGCGCCATGACCTTTTCTCCCCTCTGTCTCCTGTTTCCTGATTCATCTTGTAGTCACTGGGTTGGAAAAAAAAGTCAGAGTTGTCCTGTTTTCTGATAAGTGTGTAGCTTGTTCTGTACACTGACTACGACATTAAGCACAACAGAGAATACCTGCTGTACACAAGGAAGACCTTTTAGAATGAAAAAGTAAAGTGCAGTGTTTACTGGGAGATACACTCATTGCTTAGATTTGTGACACAGGAGTGCATAAGAGAGGTATAGTTGGTGTCAAGCACATACACACCAGTGTATATGGAATGTATGATTATAATGACACAGAATGAGAAAGGCAGAAACAGACATAGGAAAGAGAAGGATGTTTCCCATGAAGCATGAAAACTGGGAAGGATTGTCTGGTGATGAATATGAATGAAAATGAAATGCCTTAGTCAACTCAGAGACAGTGCAGGGAGCTAGGTGACAGAGGAGTGCAGTGCTACACCCACCCTTTGGGGACAGTCTGGTTATTAGACTGGGCTTTAGACTCATCCATCTTCAGGATTCTGGGTAGTGGCCATTGAAAATATGAGTACAGAGCCAGAGCTGAATACAGATGTGCTTGGGACCAGTATTCCCCCAATGGAGGGTTAGGACTCACTAGTGAGTCCCAGCCACGCAGCACAAGAGAGAGGATGCAAAACAGGTTCATCATGGGGATGCAGGCTGCACAGGCAAAGGCCAGTCTATGTGGATGTATACTGCAAAACGGATTTTCTTCAGTGGACCAAAAATGTTAATATAGCTGAGAAAAACTCACACTGCAAATGCCAGTCACATTTTAACCAGACCTCTATAAAAAGTTTAAAGGTTTGTGGTGAAAACTCACATAAGAAATAAGATGCTCTATTACCCTGAGGCAAACACATGTCTAATCGCCAGGCAACGGCACACATGGGTGTGTCCAGCAATTTTAGTGATCACTGGCATTTGCGTGGAAGAGAGGCTGAGTAGCTTATTACTGAGAGGAACGCTCCTTGCATCCCCCCTTTAAAAGCGTCACGCAAAGGCTAACTTTGATTGATGTCATGATGGCTAATCTGGAGAGGCTCCATCAGAAAAGGTTTTCACAGGAAGAAACTGATACAGGCTACTTGTCTGTGACCACACCTTCTGCACAGCAGCCTCCACACATAATCAGTCATGTCTCTGGAAAGCATTCTTCGTCTGACCTCGAATTATATGAGATGCAGCTATGAAAGGTTCTTTCCC